AGATCCTTAAAGGACAAGTATATTGAATGGGGAGATGGGGTACAAATGGGAGTGAGGGAAGAGAACTGGGAGTCAGTAGGTGATAAGACTGAAACTGTAAGAGGATGTGGGATGGGAAAACTACAAATGGCTGAACAAATATATTGGAACTGAGAATAAAGCCACTGGGATCTACGAAATATGGAGGCATCTGCTGGCTAAGTCTGGAAATGGAGAAAAGCTGAACAAAGAGCTGGGAGTGGATAGCTGGGTCTAGCTGAGAAAGAAACAAAGTGTTGGTGGGTGGGAGAAAGTGGAAGGGGGAATGTCTAAAGAAGAGTTCTAGAATTATGTTTTTAAAAGCAAACACTCAAAACTTAGAAATTAAGTTACTTAAATCTAAAAGAAACCCCTACTGATTTGTATATGCAAATGCCCAGCTCAGCACCCAAACATTCTTCACTTTGCATAAGGCAGAGGCACCGGAGCATTCTGCACAAAGGCATTAGTGGTCAAAGGGCTTCTCATAAGAAGAGCACTGGTGCTGTGCTGCTGGGGAGTTAAAACAAAAGCTCAGAGGGAGCCCTTAAAGCACAGAAACTGCATTCCTTCCTACCACAAAGCCGCTTCCCCAATCCTTTGCATAACCTTGGTCTCCCCAACACCTCCTCCCACCCTTCCTTCTCCTCCACCACCTCCTGCTAAACCTTATCTGCTCTACCACATCCTCATTCTCCTCCTGTCCATAGACTGCTCTGCTCATTCTCACGTACTGCTTTGACTCCCCAATAGTAAAAAGTAACACAGTGGGGAACTGAAGGCATGAAGAAGGGGGATGTGGCTGTATGAGTGGAGAGAATGGAAAGAAGCAGAGAATGGAAAGTTGCCCTGAGAAACCTGATCTAATTGGTCTGCTTTGAGTTGGGGGTTGGATGAGGTGACCTCCAAAGGTCCCTTCCAACCTAAGTTGCTCTGTGATCCTGTGTGGTGAAGTGTTGTGAGAGAAATAAATGGGGCTAAAACAGACACAGGTGAGTTATGAGTGAGAAAATGAGAAAGAATATCTGCAGCCTACTGCTGTTTGCATGTTCTTCGGAAGAAGTTCACGTTCCTCAGCTCTTGGAATAGGACTCTGATGACTTGGGTTATATACAGACCTCCCTAATACCACAGGCTCAACTGAACCAACTGAATTGCAACATGCAAATATGTTAGAGAGGAATGGTGAAACTTGGTGAAGTTTTAGCTATGTTACAGTTGCTTCAAAGAGCAAAGCTCTTGTCTACTTGACTGTAGTATGAGATTAGTGGGTTCATTACAGTAGCTTTGTTTACCACAAGCTTTACACTTTTAGTCTTTTAGGTATATGGGTATGCAAAATTATGTAAATCTGGTTTGAGTATTGCTTAGAAGAAGGAAAGGTTGTGAGATAGTAAGTTAACACACAAAATAAATTAGAAATAAATGCATTTTCTTAGAATTGGTACCCACAGAGTGCTGTTGTCTGTGTCATACCACCATTTTTTCTACCAGTAATCCATACATTTTAAATACACAAGGGTGGGATTCCCATGGAGAAGATAGCATTCTGGGCTTTGTCAAAGAAAAAATACTTATTGTACTGTCATCAGTTATAAAGTCTCTGCTATGAATTTGCAATGTGCGGTTAGAGCATGAGAAAAATTAGAGCAACAGAGTAAATAAACAAAATTGAACTGTCATCTGATACATGTGTGTGTTATGAAGTTGGCACTATAGTTTGAATTAAGCTTGATGATTGTGAAGTAACTTTTGTTGTGCAGAGATTTGAATGAGGGTGGAAAAAACCTAGGAAGGAATAGAAGAAAGAAAAAGCGATAAAGGGGTACAAATAGAAAAAGAAAACTGAGGCAGAAGGTTTACAGGGTCAAAAAAAGTACGGAGCGTAAGCCCTGTTGTAATCAACAATGAAGACAAATACAAATACAAATACAGTTTATAACAATCTGGCAGTGTATGGATCTCGAAATAGGCTATGGAGATAAAATTTAATGAAGGAGGAGACAAAAAGCTAGTAAATATATTAGGATATGTATTTTTCAGGAAGTTTGGGGGATTTGATAAAAGTGGACTGTCAGGCAAAACCAAATGGTAGCACTTTTAACTGCAGTTCTGTCTGATGTAGGTGAGTAGCAGCTCAGATCTAGAAATGTCTAAAACTCTCTTTGACTGGGTAGAATTAAAAAATATATACTATCTCTGTAAATTATAAGCAATTATCCCTCAGTACAGCCAGTGCAATTTTTCTACCTCCTACACCTCTGATGTATGGCTGGAGGGAGTCTAAAATATTGTAGGAAGTTCATTATTTTTGATTTAGCTCAGCAATAGTTTTCTGAATAATATCTTTCCACAAGAATTTATTAGAAACTACTCAGCAGCTAATAAAGGTGGTTGTTTTTTTTAAAGCAGGCTGCAAAGGGCATATGTAAGTTGAATATCCAGCTGTAGCATGAATGCTTGCTTTGAAAGAGGACTGCTGATCTCTAAAAGCAGTGGACTGCAAAATGTCCCAGTAAACTTGTGCTAATCATGGGTCATCTCCCCAAATAATGACCTGACCTACCTTTTCCCAGCATGTCTGCCTGTCTGGTACTTGAGCACTTTCAGAGAAAATAGAATGCTTGCTTCTCTGTAATTTTCCTGAGCCAGTGATTTTGTCACATTAATTTTGATATTTTTCTCCAAAAAAGCCAAAGAGCTTCTGCTTGTATATGCAACTGAATGGCAATAATTCAGCTTGATTAGACAGCCTACTATCCAGACCAGTGTGATTGGATGGGATACAAACGGTACTGTGGTGGAGAAGCATCATCATTTGGTCTCCTTCACAGCTGCAACACATGATTATTCGGACTCTTTATGCCACAGATGAAAAACCTAACCAGAAACAGATGGGGAGTGAGTATTTTTAGAAACAGTATTTCAAAGCATTAACAAGAGGAAGAGAAAAAGATTTCAACTTTGGAGGTAAAGAAAATTTGAAGCTTGCTTGTTAAAGTATATTCAATAGTAATTTAAAAAATGTTTTAATTATATTTATCCCCAGAATTACATTATCCTCAGAAATATTTTTCCTCAGATTCTTCCATTTCTATGTTACTTGTGGCCAAAACAGTGTAAAATGCAAATTCTTCAATTCAAGTGCAAGTAGCTGCTCTAAAATAATATTTTATAGTAATGCACAGTGCTCAAATGCCTCATTTAAAGATCCTTATTGTTTCTATTTAAATGTTTATTTTAATTTTGTATTATTTCTCCAGGACCTAATTGTTTTCTACACAAGACTTGCTATGAAAATGGAAAACTAGGTCTCTGAGATCTAAGAAGGCTTTTTGACAAGCTTGAAATGGCTTTTGTGATATCCTCAACATCTCCACAATTAGCTCTTTTTTCATCATCGTTTTCCTGCAAGAGGAAATGATCCTTCTCCTTCAAATTATAGTGTCAGAGAGTGATCAGTTCTGCTTTTCAAGCTGTGTTTGAGATAAAGACGTTTTTATGAAGAGAATAATTAATCCTCTAGTTTCCTTGAATATTGTCCGCAAGTTTGATGAGGGCAAATGTCTTTTTCTAGTAGCAAGTCAGTGATAGAGAATCTCATCAGTACCAAGCAGAAAAGTCCTAAGTTTCTAGATCAGCATTGAAGAAACCCTAACTATGTCAGTGTTGAGTGTTGTTCTCATCTTCTGAGAGCTACCTTCTGTATCTTCAGCTTCCATACAATTGCAATATGGATGCAAATGGAGTTTATACAAGTCTGATTTAGGGAGTATTAAATTGTGTCTGATAGGAAGTAAATTCTTACAGTAAAATTTCAGAAACAAAATCTCTTCTTAAGTTGTTTGATAGTTTTGAGATATCCTGACTCTAATTGAATAGAAAATATTTGACTAGGAGAATATATGTGATCCTCAAAGAATGGTAACTAAAAGTTGGGTTGTGAGATTTTTTTATAGGACTGAAAGATAATTTCTATTTATTATTCTTGTTTTGAATGGAGAAAGTTCTGAAGGCCTCACCCACTTATAGCTCTCAGCTGATTTCTGGCATTGATTGATGTATTTATCGTGTTCATGAACTAGGAAGATAAATTGGGGGGTACTATATTGTAACATTTTTTAAGCAGGAGCTGCTTTCTTTTTGGGTCCAAGGAGACACTGTAGCCCAGTGATGTCACCAGACTTTTGACTTCCGCAGTGAGAATGTTAGTGTAGATAAAACTGACTGTGTTTAAATATAATTTCGAGAACTCAGGTCTGTAAGAAGCTCATCACTTTCAACTATTTCTGGTTTCAGTGAGGAGCAAGCTCTGAAAAGCTTCGAGTTAGTGGCATTAGTTACAACTTCCAAACTGTCATATTTGGCATGTTCTACTACATTTTAATATTGTTAAACAAAACCCTTCTCTTCATTCTAGACCTATCTCATTTCACCTTGTGTATTTTGGAAGAGTCATGATGATATTTCCTGATTTCTGAGTGCTTGAACACAGTTGAGATATGTTACATAATGTTAAAAGTTAAAATGCTAATTTTCTTAGTGTCAGATGACTTTGGTTTTCTGTGTTTAGATGTACTGGGTAACTTTACCATGGTATCTCAGGTGTTGAATTATATTTTATTCTGCATTTTGAGTGTAATCTATACAATGCATTTTTTATTTGTTACTATTAACCATTTTAAAGTAGGGACTAAAATCCACAGTTAAAAGCTTGAAAATGTTTTGTACCAGAATTCTGCAAAGACATGATTAAATACAACTTATTTCCCAGAAAGGTTCATAAGCTAAAATCAAGATATCACTGCGGAGGTAAGTGAGCAAGAGGAAAGAACGGGAGCAGGAAAATGAGTGAAACCACAGAAGAACATGGTTAATTGTTATGTTCTAAACCGGATAGAGCTATAAAATGCCATTCTTGGTATAAGTGAATAGAAATTATTCAGCTGGCAGGACTTCGTTTGCACAGGAAAAAATAAGGATGGGTATATTTATGTATTTTGAAACTGACTTCAGTACTGTAGTCTGTTTCACAGCAATGTATCTCACCTATTATCTTTGTTACTTAGTTTGACAGCAATGATGATGTTTCTAAGTAAATGAAAAAGTAGTGATGGATGGATAAGGCTCTATAACCCTGTATGCTTTTTAGTCAGGTACCACACATGTGATGTATCTGCATAACTGAATGCACATGAGATTTGTTTGTGAAGTAATCATTTATTATGCAAACACCAGAACTTCATTATATCAAATTTTATTAAATATGTACATGTTATTACTATTTAAAAGAATGAGTATCATTCCAAGATCTGCAAACTTCTCTCTAGCTTTGAGAGCTGCGGCAGAGCCTGTATTAATGCTAGTTTGAAAGCTGTAAGCTAATGCAGTGTCACTGTGAATGACACAGCACCACCTTTGAAGGCAAAACTTCATCAGCTGTATTCTTTAGTTACAATACAATCAAAAAAATCTTTCATGACAATAATATATTTGTACATTGTTTAAATTTCCCAACTCTGTCCAACTTGTAGGATGGAAGCAAAGAATTCTGTCACGTTTAGGATTCTCAGATGCTGAAGAAGGGAATTCGTACCAGAAACATCTGACGGTAAAGGCCGTTTAAAGGCAGAGAAGGGGGCACAGGAAGCAAAGAGAAAGATGCGTCCATCTCCTCTGCTGGTATCCAGCCAGGAGGTCTTAATATTTTTCTTGCTTAGGGTCCCATGGCCTCAGTGAGGATAATGCTTCCTATCAGTGACCCCCCTTCCCATCACCTCTCCACTAAACTGGTAGGTCAGCTTCTTCTTGACTTTCTTGACCTCCCCTGTCTTTCCATAGTTTCTTAAAGCCCGTGCCATCTTCTGGTAGGTCATTTTCTTGCGATTGCCTTTCTGGATGCCCCAGCGATGGGCCAATGCTTCTTTGTGTTTGGAGGAGAACTGGAAAGTACCTTTTTCCTTGTCCACCCACCAGATGCTGTCCTTCATGTCTCCACTGCGAAGAAGGTCCAGAAGGAACTGATACAGACGTATCTTTTTCTTGCTGCCTGTGTGAGAGTCAGAGGAGAAAGGCAGTGGAGCATTACTATTAGTGCGTAGCTCCTGGTGAAACAGCAGAACGTGTATAATTCCTGTAACTGTTTCAGCTAGCTTGTCAGTCCTGTAACTTCTTCAGTTTGCAACATTTATAACAATAGACAGTGTTATACTATGAGGACATAATGTGGATTAATGTACAAAGAAGAAAAAACAAGAATAAGGAATTCCAAAGGCAAACCCTTGTTTTGAAATTAATTTGCTAATTTGAAGCTAACTGAAAAACATCGCTAATTTGAAAGTAATCTGAAGCTAATTTGGGAAGGTTGTACAGAACCTGATTTTCAGGTACTGAGCAACCAGAGCCAAGTATTTTTAAAAACTGGTTCCTTGACCTTCTTGCCTTGGTTTTCCCATCTATTAATGGAAATTGGAGTAGAAATGGCAAAATCCATTTCCATTCAGGAAGCCTGAATAGGCAAGGCAAAAGGAGGAAGTGGGAGTATGTGAAGAAATGAGATTTGAGATACAGACACACCTATGGTCATAAAAGATCTGGAGGACAGCAGCGTGCAAGGAGTCAGGGAAAGTGAAACTTTGGCAGCAGGATAAAGTACTAGCATGGCAGTTCTACAGTTTTATTCATTATTATCATGGTAATGTAACAGCTGCTCACCACATAGCTTGACAAAGTCCCTCTGTCTTCACTGACCTGTTTCTCCATGCATAATTCCAGGCCCAGGGTCCACACCATCAGTCTCCCCATCTGATACCTCCAATGGGGGGCTCTGCCTCTCTATGTCCTCCTCATCAGAACTGGGCTGCGGTGGAGAGGGGTACTGTAGGCACATCCGGGGCAAATAGGACACCTTTGGGAGAAAAGAGTAGCAGAGGAGGGAGGTAGTGATAGAGTAGGGCATCAAGAGGAAGAAAGAAAATGTCATGGAGAGAGTTGGGGGGGAGAAAGTTAAGAGGTATATGAGATTGTTTAGGGTAGTACTGGGTGACTTAGTTGTGGACATTCATAATAAATACTGTGCAATTAAGAAACGCTTCCAGCTAACAGCCAACACTTATACATGCTACACATGTACAAAGATGCATCTTTACATGAGGGAAGGAGGAATAAGGTTGCAAAAGTCAGAACTTTCCCATATGTTATATCCTATGCAAATAATACTGCCCATCTTTCCCCATAACTCCCCAAAGCTAACATTCTTACTAATGAATTTCTGATCCCTGTTGCCTAGCCCCAGTGTAAAACTGCTTTTGAGAACAACTTTTTTTCTAACACAGACCTTCTGGAACTACCCTTTTGCTTGTTTGAAAGAGCTGACCACTTCTGCCCTAGCTTGGCTGCTTTGACTGGCTTTGGCTCTGTTGTTCTCTTCCTTTCTCAGGCATGGTACCTTCTGACAGCCCTGAATCCCCACAGGACTGCATCCAACTCTGTGGATGGGGTTACACAGGTCTGTCAGCTTCCTGTCCTGAATTTCCCCCGTGAGGAGGTGAACAGCCTTAGCACTAAGATAAAGGATACATCATATTGGCTCACATTCTCTTTTCTTAAGTGGCTATCTGAAAATTCCCCATTAGTGGGGATTTCTCATCTGAAAATCTAGCAAGCCAGATTTTGTGCTAAATCCTGTTGCCCTTATATAGAGAGGTCTTGCTGGAGCAGTGTGGAATATACTTCAGCTCTGTAAATTCTCAGTTGCAGTCTGGTTTGTTAGGGATCATGACCAGTTGCCATAAATTATCGGAGCTTCTTATTTAAGAATGAGAAACAGATGAGTCTGAGAGGCCAGGGAGTAAGAGTCTTAATTCCTACGTTAAAAGAAGCCAACCAACATCCCCCAAACCCAGCTGCATATAGAATGTGGTTTTCATGGAATGGGCCAGACTGACAGTCCTGTAAGGTGAGCTCCTTTTGAATTGCTCTTCCTCCTCTTCACCAAGAAAGGACATCTTGAGCCTGATTCCCTTCCCAGGGGGCCTCAGGCACTGAAGTGGGGAGTGAGTGTTGACTTCATGAGCCACACCACCCACACCATGTCGGGCTTTGCCGAGTGGTGCTTTTCAGATGAGTTTTGCACCAGCTTAAAATGTCCCAATAAGGAGTGTGCAAAGGGCTGGTTTTGGGGTGCAGCAGCTGGCAGTTAATGAGTTGGCAGATTGGCTGGAGCCAATCTGGCAGGAAGGCCAGGATTGGGTAAGAGCGTGTGTAAGCTTCCTGTCAGATCCCAAGAGCGAAACTTCAGCCCTCACCACAGTCACCTTTAGCTTTTTACAGTTAAGAAAGCTGTGGCCCCAGGGGTAGGAAGGAAGAGAGAGACAGTGCCATGGGGGAAGGGGAATGAGAAGGTGGGACAATGTTTTACAGCCAGGATGGGATGGGGGAACACAGATTGGTGCCCCTGCAGAGAAAAAGGCTGTGGAAACATGGAGTGTGTTGGGGGCTGGTGTGGGATTTAAGGAAACTGCTCCTCTGGGGCTGGAGGGAGGTGGTGGGAGAGTGCTGTGGAGGAAGGAGGGGGAATGGTGTCGCACAAGCAAAGGGAGTTGCAGAGGCCAACCTGGGGAGTTGAGTAAGCTTCCTCCACTCTGTCCCCACTTTCTCTATCTGCTGTAGTTTTGCTTACACTTGACTTTGCGCCTGAAGCTCAACATAGGCCAATACATACAGCATCTCACAGTTATGTTACACAGAGTCACAGAGGACCTGCTAGTGTATTTGAAAGAACCAGGTTACTAATACAGTTCTGGAGAGAAAAAGCTTAAGAAACTACTAGCTACTTTCCATATTCTGATGTTGTCTTAGGATCCATGGCATCCATTTGTGATTTTTCTTTTTCTAAAGCTCTTCGTGGTTTTCCAACCTTTTCTTTCATTCTCCGTTCAGAATGACTATTCTTTTCTTAATTTATTATTTTTGAGGCCACCTGTTGGCAGGCTAACAAAACTTTTTGAAGAAATCTTGTTCAAGAACAGCTTGAACTTCAAATTTGATTTCACAAAATAATGTGATATCAACAGAAAATTAGAGAAATATCTTTGCATGTTCTTCCTTTATTTGCAGACTGTAACTCTAATATTGCACGACAAGCATGGGTGCAGTTAGTAACTGACCAATTCAGCAGAGGATTAAAGCTTGCTTCCTGCTTCTGTTTCTTTGAAAATGCCTTGAATAATAGTATATGTTGCCTAGGACTGTGGCTGAGACACACCAGAGTCTGAACCTCAGAGCATGCTAAGTACAACTTGCATGAGCTACTGTAGGTTAAAGTAAAAAGCCAAAGATCCCTGGGTGATAAGGAAGAGGAGGATAATGGTGAATTCTACCTACTGATACCTTCAGCAGCTTTGCATGGGGTGGGGCAGAGAGCACAGTGCTCTTTGTCAAAAGTTGCAAAAAAATTAATTCTCTGCCTTTCATACTGAAATGAAAGGTGGTAACTGAGTAGAGTGAAGTGGATAAGCAAAAGCACCCTCTCTTGTTTTTTGCTGGTGCTTCCAAAGACTAAAGGGCTAATTTTTATTCTTTTCCTTTGGTTGGAGGTAACGGTCGGTCATTATGTGTTAGCAGTTGCAGTGAGCAACTGAAACGACTTGAAGCTTCCCACAGACTGCTGTTCCATGAAGCATTTTTTATATTTGTAACTTTCTGTTCCTAATTCTTTGTTTGTATCTACATCTCATATTCTATTCCTGACTTTTTTCTGAGTAGTAGGTGAGAAGTTTGATGGCTTGCAGTCAGTCAGTTTCCTGTTGACAGTGTTAACTTATTCACTCAATTTTTTTCCTTTTTTGTTTTTGATTAATATGGGATTTGTATACAATTTCAGTTTGCTTTGAATAAAGCAGCCCAAAATGACAATTCCATGCATACAGTTTCTCTCACAAAACTTCAGTAATGGCACCATTATATGCACCGCTGTAATCAGCAAACACTTTTTTCTCTGACCTCAGTCTTGCTCTGTCTTGTATTCAGCACATTGTATGCAGCTTGCCTGCCTTGGGAAACTCCTTAGCATAAGATCAGCCAGCTTTCTCATTGCTCCCAGTAATGACTTTAGGCATAGTCTTGTAGGATCAGTAGTTAAAAGTCATCCTCACACCCATTTTGCTTAGTATCTTTGCAGTACAATGGAACCCCTTACAGTTTTCAGCTTTAGTGAGAATTGACTGGCATTTTGGTGACTATCTTGACTGCACAATAGAGTGTCTTTTTTTAGAGGGAGACAACTGGCTTAATGTAAAATCTGAGCAGAGACAAGACAGTGTGTTTTGGCTTGTGACTTATTTACTTTCAGGTAATAATGCAAGTGGGTTGTCCTCAGCCTGTTTCACAGTGGTAAAATTACCAGTGACTTGTCTTTGTTAGCATTTCTTGGACAAGTAATCTAAAATTCTCAGGGTTGCTTGGCGATATTTAAAACTTTCCCACTACTTTGAGACTCAGAATACTTCCCAGTAGTCATGGATACCCTTGCTATGACAATGCATAGCTTCTCAGGTCCAGTTCCTCTGCAGAATTTCAAAATGGTTGATTTTTCGTTCCAAATTAAAAAATAAAAAAAAAAAAAAAAGAAATCTCAAAAACCTCCACAAAATGCAATTATCTTTTTAGGCACAGTTTGAGGAACATTATCTGGATAAAAAGAATGCTTAAACCACATTTGTCCCGAGAAGTTGTATATCAAGTGCTTGTGCAGTAAGAACTTGTGTAATTCATTTCAGCAGTCTCATTCGCAGAAGAGTATGCATTCACTGATGCATTATTTTCCTTACCCTTATCATCCTACATTCTTAGTAGGGGTTGGTAACCATACCTGATGGTTGAGTCCGATGTGTGTGGTTGGGATTGCAGAATCCAAGACATGCATTTGTTCAATCTCCATGTGCCTGTACAGCTGCTGCAGCTGGGGAGGCTGTACGCTCTGCAGTTCTGTGAAGTGATTGTCTCCAAAGGTCTCAAACTCAGTGTGCATGTGGTGTGGATGATATTCCCAGTAATGATCTAAAGAAAATAAAAATAGATTGTCTGTCATTACAAGATTAAGAAGCATGGTATTTACCTGTCTTCCATTGGTTCCTACTCCTGTCACTGTCCTTTCAGCCCTTTCCACACCATCCCTGTTGACCTGTCTGTCTGGTGACAGTCTATATAGATCCCTGTAAAGTTTCTTTTCCTAATCTCATAAATGCCTGTGACTAGAAAGTAATACTTTGGCCACTTTAACCAGGAGAATACTCTTAGATGGAGAGATGGATTTCAATGATAATTTAGCAGAAGATACAAAAAACATTAATGCTGGCACCTTTCTCAAGAAGAGACCATAACAATCTTACATTTTCATTCTTGAGGCAACAAATTCTACTGATTTACATATCATCATATTCTCATTACACTTTCTCTCATGACATGGAAATCAGGAGATGAAGAATATTTAGAGATTATTCTGCAGTTATCTTCAGTCTTTATTTTAGTCTGCTATTAAAATTTCAGAAATGCTGCAAAAAAGGCATGGCACTTTGCTAGATATTTCCTATAACCATATATTGGTATGTTGCATGTTTTTCAGTACCAGTATTAGAGAATAAAAGGTTAAACTGTTGCAGCAGCCTGGTGTACACTGTTTACAGTGAGGCTAAATTCTGATGCAGACTCTTTCTCTACCTTTTTTCCTCTCTTTAGGATGTTTAAAATTTCTATGATAATTTAGATTTTTCTTCAAAACATAAAAAAATACTTAGATAACCATTGTCCTGTTTCCCAGTTTATTTACTGTTGAAATTAAGTTCCATATCATTCTCAGTTTTAGATTTCTGGTTTCTTAGTTCAATATATGCCTCCAGAATTTTTAGAATTTCCTATTTGCTGCTCAAAATCTAAAATCTGTTAGAGGAAATGTGAAGCATTGCAAATCTATTTCTCTCTTACATACAGTAGCTGCATGCATAATTATGCACATATTTGTATGCACTCTGTTTTATAAAATCAAAGTCAACATCACATCCTCTGCTCTGACTTAGCTAGGAACTAATCTTCCATAGTTTAACTTTTCATGTATCATTTTATGCACGGCTCAAATTCTTTATGATATTCAGTGTAGCAGTTCTAATTTATATCTTACTATTGTGAGTTTTCTTCCCTTGTATTTTTATGAAGCATTTCTGTCCTAGCCTTCACAAGTTTTCCGGTTGCTGTAACGTACCCTTACAATCTACTCCTAATTATCACTTAACCCAGCTGCATGTATTTCGCTCTTAGACTTTCAAAAATCTTTCAGTATAAATCAGTATATTCATCCCCCTAACCATACTTGTGCACTTCTCCAAGCTCCCTCCCAGCTGTTGACATCCTTCCAATAATGCAATGGTCAGAACTGAACATGTTGTTCCAAGTGTAGTTGTACTGAATTTATAGCGGAGCAATTGTCTTGTTCTGCAATATGATGTTACTGTGTATGATATTATCTGGATACTAATGTGTTGTGAATATTCATTTCTTAAATACCAGATTAATTCTGTCTCTCAGCTTCTATCTTCTCATCCTTCCCCACTTGTTTCAAACAAGTAGGTCTAATCTCATTGAGGATTTGAAATGCGGGATGCGGCAAAGTCATTTGAAATTACTTTGAATGTGGCTTCCTTTAGAGGGAACTTGGTGATATGTTTATACCAAACACAGTTGTACCTGAGAAGCTGTAAGCTCTTCTAGCTGCCTTTATTGCTCAGGCCTGTAGAAATTTATTTGGAGGCTCTATCAGGCCATTTACCGCACCAGTCCTTACTTTTTTGTCCATCCTGCTTTTCCGATTCGTGGATAAACTATGTCATGGCATCTGAAAGGGATGAGAAGGTGCTTATAAAAGCACCTAGGGAGCTGCTGCATTACTTTGTAATTTATTTGCTTTGTTGTATAGTGCTTTCTGTTGGCTACGCATGGATTTTATAGCCCAAAGTTATAATTACAATGGAGAGTAGCACTTCTTCATGTTGTAGTGCTAGAGAAAAATTTTGTTTTCTCTGGTGAAAAAAGTGGAGTTTATGGGTGCAAAGCCCCCAGGTACTTTTACATTCACATCTGCTCCAACCCAGGAAATAAGGGAGTGTGAGTTTGAATCCACAGATCATCTTAGGCTGTGTCCTGGTAGGAGGCTTTGGGTACTTCCAATCTGAAACATTTTTGTTCAGGTGGAAGACTAAGCTGCACTAAGTCATACTTTTTCTGGGTTAAATTACTGCAGATTTCTCTAAGTAGAGCCAACCATTGAGGCCCCATATACCATGGGCAGCACTGTATAATAAAATTTTTGAAAATACATTGCAGGAGTAATCTGTACTCTTGTTCTTAGAATGATCTGGCTCTGCTCCTTGTGCAGAAGGTCCTCTGTCAGATGTCAATGTATATTCTCAAAGACCCCTTGTCTTCAATAAGCTGCTACAGCATATGAGAGCAATGCATAATTGTGAGGATGACAAAGCCCAGGCAAAAGCCTTGGAGGCTGTCAATTGCAGGTCTTCAGCTGTGGAATCTTTTACTGGTAATAACTATGGTGGTCAAGAGAGAACATAATACATTTCCAGTGTGTGTAGCCATGAGTATTTGCGCCTGCTCTGAGTGGTCTACTCTCGAGTCTTAAATATTTTTTATCAGAAGTTATTTTTTTTTAATACTTCAAGATACCTCTTTGTTTTTGAAGCCTATCACAAGGTTCCTGCTGCCTCCAGAACCGTTCTTTTAAACTCTTCCTTTGCAAATAAATTAACCTATGGAATGCTATTATGCCTATTCATGTTAATCACTATGTAATATTTAGCCTAGTAGTTACTGAATTCCTTTTTTATGGAATTAAGTGTTGCTGTAAAAATACTATAGTAGAATAATACTAATAGCACAGCATTTAGGGACTTACAATAACCACATAATACTAATACATTACAAAATACATCTATGCCAGAGATTACTTCAACACAAACTTTGTCCAAATATGCAAGTTGTGACAAGAGGAAAAGCCCTTATTTCTTTCTAAATTACAATTTCACAGTGATGCTTAGGAAAAGCAATATTGGTTTAGTTAACATTGAAAGAGGAATTCTGAATTCCGTCTCCATGAGCCCTTCTGCAGCTAATCAGCTTGGCTAAGTTATTACACATGAAAGTATAAAAAAATCCTAAATATCTGTGTCTGCAGTTATTAGAGTTACCAGCAGCTATTTACTTCTGTGTTCTTTGTTAGTGTTATGTCAATAATGCATAGCAATTCTGTTCTCTCAAAAACATAAAGGTGGAAGGAAGAAAAAAGAAAGGAGAGAAAAATTCTAGAAATGGAAAGTGTCTATTATTTGGGTAAAGGAAAATGTCATTAAAAGCCAAGCTATAGCTACCCAATGGACTCATTATGAGAAATTTCATGTGAAGTGAAAGAGGATGTGAAAAAAATTCTCTTATAGAGACATGGAGATCATGTTTGTTTTGGTCTTGTATGTAGTGAAAGGTTAAGAGGAAGGACAGTCATGAATTCTGAACTCCTTCCCATGACAGAGAGGATGTTAGCCTGTTGGGAAGCAATAGGAGACCTAAAGGCATTGTGTTAATGTTCACCATGGAGGTAGATTCTCGCTCTACAAGTGAGAAAACATAACTGAACTTTCTCAGTCATCTTCTCACCAATGTAAATTGCTTTGTTCCTGTTTTAATAGATTAATAATGTTAGAACTGGCAGTTAGAATATGAAATAGGCTTAGGGAAGGTATTTATTATAAAGTGAAGTAACAGGCTAAATCTGCATCACGCAGTGCAAAGCCGTGCAGAAATTCATGAGCCAGCTCTTGAACCGGAAACGTGACAGCTCTGTCAGCACAGCACTCTGCCCAGTCTAAGGAGACAACTGCGTTGACATGGCTGTACTTCTGAGGTCTGAGCTAGTGTCTCTGAGTGGTTCTGCTCCATGCTGTACAGATTTTCCAACTCATTTTGAACTACGAGAGGGTTCCTTACACAGCACCACAATACATAGCTTAGATGTTCCCACTGTGTTTCACTCATCTGAGAAAACAAGCCAAGAAAAAACCCATAGAGGAAATGAGAAAAATGTTGAAGGACACTGGAAAATGAATGTCTTGATTCCCTACAGAATTGCTCTCTGAGTGAAATGCTGTGCTCCTAGGCAGTGCAGCAGTCTTAGCTGTAACGACAGTAGGATCTCATTAGCTCTCTCTTTACAAACATCATGATTTTAATGCCAAATGTTCGAAAATCTGTGAGTCAGGCCCCAGCAAATCATGAGAATGGCTTTGAAGCGAGGGGATTTTTTAATGAAGTTTGGAGTTCTTTCTATTTTCCAATATAGCATTTAAGACTAAGGTTCACATGTTTGGACTTTCCTCCACTTCTATGTGGGCTAAAATCCTAACAAAATCAAAGCTGAGATTCTTAAATTATCATACTGCTCCAGGAGGTAGGATGAAAATAAAATCTCCAATCATGAAATCTAGTAAGTTCCACGAGGCTAGCAACAAAGTGAACGAGGGTCAGCACTCAGATTCATACAAAAAGTGATTTTTACTAAACCAATGTTTAGTAATAACTTAGAGACAAAGCTGCAGTGGAATTTTGTAATTATTAGGATTGCATTAGTGTTACAAAATATGCTGTATTACATTTACAGACTTACTAGCATACAAGCTCAGGGTAGGGTGATGGACTAATGGTCACTTGAAGTAGCTTCTGTCCTGCGTGACTGTGCCTGTGTTTATTACAGTGTTTACAAAACAGTTAAACTACAGTATACAAAATAAATGCAAACAATGCATGTTGTGATGAACATACAGATATTTTTATGGTGTGTTTTTGTTTGTTAAATTTAGTGTTCACTTACTGGCAATGATCTCCTGCATATTAAATTAGTGACACACTATTGTGTGCACTTTACTGCCTACTCATGTAAACATGGAGTAAGGGTTCCCTTCAGCATTATGCTCTAGAAAAGTGACAGTAATGCATGTAGCACAGATCTACAGATTAAGATATTGCCATCTCCCTTTCACAAAATTAATTTGCTAGCAGTGAGAGAGAGGTAGTCTGATGCTTGTGCAAGACCTCCTATTTCTTTAGCAGTCCCTTATCGGTAAAGTCAGAAATATTATTCTGTTTTCTAGTATCTATTTGCTTTATCTGGTAGCTTTTGTTTGAGGTCCATAGTGGTATTGAGTAGACCTGAAAAATTATTTTTTATGCATTGCCAGTGATTTTGCTGTACCCCAAGCTGAACTCCTCTCTCACAATTCTGTCTTATTTCTTCTTTTTTCTGATCTAATCATGTTCTCAGATCTTTCACTTCACTGCTATCACTGCAGCACCTTGTTTATTCTTTTCCCCCACCATTTTTCAATCATTGTGCTTTTATCCACATTGTTATGAACACTTAGTACATATTGCTAAAAGTAGTTTTGTGATGACCCTTTCTGCTCTTCTCAAGACTCACTACTTCTGCCATGTTAATAAAATGAAAGCCAAAGTTGGGTTTGTCAATGTTTATAGGAAAGAAGCAAAATGTGTTGATTTGTGTTTTTCACTCTCCTTTGTATTCTTTGGTTGTTCGTTGCTCTTTTGGACTGTGAGCAATTCAGGAAAGTGTAGGACATGTTAGATATTTAGACACAACCAACTACATTACAGGTGCTTTTATAAGGAAAAATTTCATTGAGATGTGCAGGCTGGGATTAATTGCCTCTTCCATAACCTCTTATGGTAGGAGTTAAAACATTAAACAACGGGTTTTGGGGTCTTTAGGACAAGTGCAACACAAGTTTAGGAAGAGACAAATTTCTGTTCAAAGTGGGTGCTTAGGTACTACTTAGGCCATAACCCACATAGGTGACTTTAGAGGGTTTTTTGTGTTCATTATGATGAGTAAAAATGTGTTAATGATCTGAGCAGTGTAGCTTAGGAACAGCCTTCCAACAGAAAAATGAGAAGTAAACCAGATGGAGTGATAAGCTTATGAAAGATAAAGGGATGTTGTTGCTGGAGGTAGCCTAGATTTAATGACAGAAAAGTTATTTCCCAGTGCTTTTTCCTACATGGCATCTTTTATGTTTATTGTTTAATTGTCACAACTGCCTTTTGAGATAATAAATGTTATCCTTATTTTATGGGTGTGTAAACAAGTTCAGGGTATAATGTAAAAACCCTGAATTTCCATGTGGAATTTGCTGGGTTTGATTAATGTGACTTGACAGATGCCATGAGATAACTTATAAAAACTGAATTAATTCTTTGTCTCCAGGCATTAAGAATATCTTAGGTGTTTCTTCAATGCAATGTAGAGAAGAAATTTCAGTAGGAAATGTTTTCAGTTAAATGCTCGGAACAATCCTATTCTGTAACTTGTTGTGCCTTAAGGTAGCTTCTGTTGCCACAGATAAAACAGTGCTATGCTGTGAAGTCATTAGATGTCTTAAATTAAGCAGTGATGGGTCTAGTTGCTGTATCAGTGGGAGTCTTTTAGGGAAACTCCAGGATCTGAAGGGACTGCCACAAGTGATACAGTAGAACGGTGCTTTTCCTTCCTGAGTCAATATTGACTCTGATATTTCCAGGGTGGTGTTGCTGGACCATTGTATTGCACAGGAGACAAAATTCACAAAGCAAGACTCTCCCCTCTGCATTGATTTAGAGTCTAGTGTCCAGATGACATGAAAATATAAAGAAACCAAAGCTTTGAAGTCACATACATAAATTGAAGCAGTATTTTTATATTGAGCTAGGTTTATGTACAAACAGCTACAAGGAAGTTTTACATAGATTTAGAGAGAGGAAGTACTTGGGTGTACTGGAGGAAGAGTGAAAGTTAAAGCTAGGTGTGGCAACATGCAAAAGAGATCAAAAGAAAGAGAGAAATACATGGAGTTGAAAAAGGCCAAATACCAAAGAAACATAATTAAAATGAAGGTACAAATAGAGTATTTAGGACCTCAGCCAAACAGGAATTGGAGATGGGAATGCAAGAAGAGAAATACAGTATTGCAAATCCACATCCTCAAAGAGTTCTGAGACAAGCAGAGTGCTTTTGATCTGCAGAAGAAAGTAAAAACACAGTGAAGATAATGGAGGATAGAGATCATGAGATCCCACCTTCCTGGCAATACACTGAATGTCCTGGAAGCTCCTTGCATCATTCAGTGCTTTCTAAATTCTCTTTCAGAGAAACCGTGTTGCAGTTGCTGGGTTGGAACAGTGCCATTAAGCAGAATAAAACATTGTTGTTTTCTAGTTTGAAAGTATGTGCCTATAGATTATAGATCAGAGCAACATGATTGTTTTGCTGAATGTCCTAAATCTCCTTCCTGTGATATCCTATAAGACTTTATGCTCCAAAGAGATATTTTTTAACTTACCACCGTGACTCTCTCCATCACTGTTGAGATACTGGTAATAGTCATGGGGCTGTCTGTAGAGGTCTGACTCATAGGGTACCATATCTTCAGAGGGCTGTAAAGAGAAGAGGAATTTTTAGAACTGTAAGCTTACACAAATCACTTCAAAATTATAGTTCTTACTGAATCAGGAGGAATAAAATACTTGACACCAAACAGAGTAATCCATCTCTTTAGACCCAGTTTGCGTAGCAGAACATATACTGTAGTATTACACAAGTTATTGATATCCTGCTCTCTAACCTTCTTCAGATACTACTTAGAGAGCTGTCTTGGACATCAGGCCCAAGTCAAGATGCCATCACACCAGCACAGCAGGGGAACCTTTTCTTTGGTAGTGACAGACATTTATTATTATTCCTCCTGTACGCAAAAGAGAAAGCAGAATCTTGTCTTGCCTAAGCATGTTATTCTGAGTGTTTCTAGGAGGTCTCACTAAACGGTGGCAGTTTGTAGAGAGTAATGACATTGACAGAGGGCATAAAAACATTTTTTTTTCTCAGTTTTTGTCCAGGATTATCTGTAAATGTTTGCTGGTTCAAATCTGCTGCCCAGAGCTGTTAACTATGCACAGAGAAGACTTAAAAAGTCCAAATGTGGGGCAGATACTGAGTTGTGACCTATTGGATGCTTAGCTGTAGAATTAAAGTCCTCTCTTTCTTCTTAAAACAGGTGACATAGGGTAACTTTCCCACTTGTCTTTCTCCACACACCTAGTACTCCAATGTTAATACTGCTTAGCGTCTTATGTTGCTTCAATAAAGGTGGTCCATTTATTATTTTATTTATTTAGTTGTGCACAATTCGGTTGCTTCATTTAAGTTTAGTTTTGTCTTTTTCCAGAATGAAGAGTTAGAACAGAGCAATGTCCTTCACAGAGCTTTCCTAAACTTTTGTCCAGTTAAGTTCACTACAATATTTTCTTCCAATCTGAACAAATTCTTACAGTGTCAACAGCAATGTAGAACTCAAACCCCTTCTTGCTTTTTGTTCTGAAAGGAAATTATTTCTAGTACGTAGTAACAGAAACATTTTTCTTCTGTTAATGATTTCAGCATAACTAACTTTAAAGAAAAGGACAAATATTTAAAACAACACGATAACTTATGCAATGGATATATTTTTTATTTTTGTATGTTTACATGTTCATATGCCTATCTGTGTGTCCCGAATCCTTATCTCCCTCCATAAATCTGTCTCATTTTTGGAACACCAGCATTTTTTAAGCTTAGGCTGTGGTGACAGCATGCCAGAAATGCAGACAAGCTTCTCTTTTTCTTCCTCCTCTAGACTACTCGAGAACACAAAACCTAAGGCAGCAGCTGCCATTAAAATCCAGATGGAGGTGGTAGATAAGCAGCTGGCAAAAGGAGAATACTTTTTTTTCTGGTGAAAACTACATCAGACTTAGAGTTGCCATTGCTCATTAACTCTTAAATTCTTCTAGTTAACTCCTTCAGTTCATTCAGTTGGAATCCAGGGATTTAAAGATGGTTCTTTCTAGGGATGTGATTTCTATGAAGACATTGAAGAAATTAGATCAAGAAAAAGAGAGACTTATTCCCAGAGGATTAAGATGTTAGAACACAAAAAAATAGCAAATACTTTTAGAAATTACTTTGGACCTTGGTATAACCTTAGAGGCAGCTGCGTGCCGTATTAGCGTATCATATTAAAATGCACTGGTAAGGTTACCTAAAACATCACGACTTCCAGAATGCACACTAACCAGGCATCAGATCCATGGAATGTTCAAAACCTCAGGAGCAAATCCATTGCCTGGATGTCAGCTCCCAATATAATCTGTGGTGGTGGATAGTTGGGGAAATCTTGAGAAAATGATAACCCACAATAAAGACAATCTGAAGGAAAGACTAGGTAAAAGGAGCAAAAAAATCATTTAATTGTATCCACAGCAGGGATACCAGTGGAGGGGCTCCTCTTACGTCTGGTCTCCAGAGGATGTAGGTGCAATCTCCCTTTCCAAATCAGTATGATTCTAGTAGAATTGCCCTTCATCTACACAGAGATTTAATGGGAAGTATAACCTATTTTCCAGATTTCAGAGGGGTGGTCAAAGGAGAAAGTACAGCATGAATTCTCTCTGATCCTTCTGGTTTTCCTCTACTTATTTTCTGTGTTCTCTCTGACCATGACTGGTTATATGCATTCACTCATGCCCATTCCTTCGACCTGTGGTGTACTCCGATCTCTGACAAGAAAAAGTAATGAGACTGTGTTTTGCTTTCTTCAGGATAAAGTTCTGAATGGAATTTCTTCTTTTCATTATCTTTGCAAATTAATTCACCCCACTCCCCCATTTCCTTTCCATAAATACATGCTTCCTATTAAATCCTGTCAACCTGAAGAATGTATGAAGCTTTTGCCTTCATATTCAGAATTGTTAATTTGCCATAACTCAAAGGAAAGCACTCATATTCTGTGAAAGGAGAGACCTCAACATCCAAATGGAAAATGCACATCTACTAGTTGGGAGAAATGGAGGTTAAAAAAGTCATATAACTGATTATAGTTTGAAAGAAAAATCTTTGTTTCCTTTCAATTAAAATACTAGAAACTGACTGAAATTATAAAAATTTTCCATATCTAAATACATCAAAGTTTGTAGCTCTGATAAATACTTAGCCAAAAGTAAACAAATTTCCAAAGAAATCAGTGTCCTGTCAACCTAGGCTTAATTTGCTCTGTATAAAATTTCCACTGCTACAACGAAAGCTCTATCACTCATATCTTTACAGAAGTATAGCTTGGTAGGAAGGCCAAGCATCAGTCCAGAAGTAGATAAACAATACATATTTTAGGCATGGGAAAGAATGTTTGAGTAGTTGTGTTCTTCCTTTGTTGTCTCTTCATCCCTAAGATTTTCCAAACTCCCCCATTTCAGTCCAATATACTGTAACTGGCAGTAGCATCTCACAGCCTGAGAGCTGAGTATGAAGTATTTCTACCACTCAAAAGCTAGTTTTACAAGTTCAGATGTGTATTCAATGACCAGAGCTAAAGAAAGGTGTGTTAAATAGACTCTTGAAAAAGTGATTCCCTTAATATTTACAGATCTGGCTGAGTGCAGAGTGAGTTGCAGATAGACAACATCTAAAAACCAGTCTGCTTTTACATAGATCATTGGGGTTTTGCATACTCTGTTTTTAAAGTCTGGGACTTAAAATCTCTTTATTACTGATTGTGGGAATTTTCTTCCTTGAATTTATTTTCTGCTCAGTGATCCATTTGATAACACATGTATGTGTAAATCCTTGTTAACTCATGCAACCTGGACCAATCCACCCCCACAAAGGACTTGAATTGGCACTGCTGGTTCCATCTTGCTGTCTGGTCTTCAAGGGTACAGTAACTAATATGGGAAGACATGTATTACATGTTTAAACCTATCAGATGGTGGTCAAAGGAGACAGTACAGCATGGATTACCTCTGATTAGCTTTATCGTATGGGAAGGTGGGATATTTTCATCTATTCATTAGAGAAACTATTTGCAAGAACCTGGTCTTAATCTCTCTCTGTTTTTTAAAAGTTTTATTAAAAGCTTTTTCTCCAGTTAAAGAGAAGAGTTTTCACCATGTGCCTCTTGTACCAATCTTTACCCACTTGCCCTGTCCTTTTCTGGAACCTCCCCACCCACACACCCATTTCATCATCTTACTTACTAATAGCACTTCCATGACACTGAACTGTTTTGTTTCCTCTCACAAAAAGCAAAGAATGGCTTATGTTTCAATTTAATACTTAACTGATGTCAATGGCCATTTGTTCTACCAATTGTTTTCATGTAAAAGAGTGACAGAAAGCTTTGTTAGCAACTCATAGCTGTGGTCTGAAGTTGATATCTCCTTTCCTACATGCCATGAGGTGCAGTATGCTATCTAAAACCATATTCCAACCTTAAGCAAGAGGTCAACAAACAATACTTTATCTCACAGACTTTGATAAATGGAAAGTTGCCTGCATCTTCCTTCTCTGCCCTGAAAATCAAGAGAAAAGCCACAAAACTCTTGGAGAAAGCTTGGTTGGCATTGGTTAAGAAGGGACTCAACTGAATAGCAATCTGAAAATCCTTGATTTTACCAAGATTTTGTCAGATGATTCAAGGTGACTGTAAATTCACTAAATGCTGATCTTTTTTTGTTATTCTGACATAACTATTCACTGGCATGTGATTCAGAAATACTCCACACAGTTTCCAATGATGTGCTGCTGAGACAAGTTTTAAGGCCAAGGTTAACTGTATTTCCTTGGAAAAAAAATACAGTATAACTATTTTAGAAAAGATGAGTAAAAATATTGACATGATCACTCATTGGGCCAGCATCACTGGACCATGCTGGCAACACAGTTATGTGGAACAGAGCACTTCTGTGGGGCATTTTTGCTCTCATACAAATATACTTCCATTCAAAGCTGTGATTTCTATTGGTGGCTACTTAGGGGTTCACATATAACTGAGGCCCTCTTTAGGCAAAGATCTTTGGCGTAATAATTTTTTGCCCCGTAGCACAACTAGATTCTATCATGCACTGGAAGATGTGGGCCCTGTTTGCAGAACTTTTCCATACAAAATTCCTGATCTTCAGAGAAAGATACAGTACTCCTAAACCATTTGAGCACTGTTTTACAAATGAAGGGTAAGAGTTTCCTAGCATAGTCAAGAGGAAGGCAGTTACTGACCCACCCTCAACTGAAAGGGGAGGGGCAGAGGAGGGAAGTATTGCTTCACAGAAACCCCTGTCTAGAAACAGGCTTATGTCTCCCCGCTGAAAAAGTCCCAGGAGGCATAGACATTTATAGCGATGCCATGTTGGGCTCAAACTAGCAGTGCTCAAAGTGCACTTAAAACAATTTTGAAAGGACAAAACACAAAATTATTAATATTTGGACATTTTAATCACAAAAAATGAAAACAAAATTGCCCTAACAAGTGCTCCTGTAATAGTATTTTCACTGCCTGTTGTATCATTCATCTGAATAGAGTTCAGCCAGAATATTAACTGCAACACAAATTAGAATATGGGCCAGACTGTGTTAGATTTTCACTCCATTTATTCAATGTATGCACTGGAATTCAATACTGAAAAAAAAGAGTCCAGAAAACTTGGCTATGAGTGAATGAGTGGACAGAAAATTAAGTTATGTATATATATTTTTTTTTTTTTTAAATGGAGATGCTGGTTTCTGAGATAGTTGAGGACAAGGTTTGGGTGTATTTTTAATTTTTTTAAGCCCAACAAGTAGCATATTGAGCAATCTCTGTGTACTTTTTTCATTTTTTCAGTTTCTTTTCAGGTAGCTATCATGACGCGTTTACAGTAGATCCACTGGGCAACTTGATGTATTTAAGAAAAAGAAAAAAGATTTTTAGGGTCTTCTCACGCTTTCGGTAGATAGGGTATTTTCAGGGATGATGAACTGCTAGAATAAGGGGTCTCCTGAAAAGAAGACATATTTTTTCAGTCAACATGGATACCAAACATGAAAGGAAATCAAAGGGCCATCTTTCTGGGTGGAAGATAAAGGAACATGTCTTTAGCCTTCATTAGATGGGACAAGACAAAAAGAAAACTTGATACAAGTTTTGTTAAAAGGACTCTTGGATTTGCATTGTCTCTTTCTGTTTTCTGAACAGATAGGGCAATTACCGTAAGACATCTACCATGTCAAAAGCCAAGCAAAACACCTTATCTGACATCTCTTCAGCTTCTACAAACTTAATAAAATCTAGTTAGGGCCTCTTTTACCCATTCTGCTTAGAGATTTCCCATTAAGGTTTGTTTCTGAACAACAGGTTAATGACATTATGTTCTTCATAAATAATAAATTCCAAACTCACTGTATTATAAATTTTACAGCAATGTAACAATGGTTCAGAGTTAAAGAAAGGATAGAAACAGCCTCATAAGCATACAGAAAAATTTTTATCTTAAAGAAAACATTGAAAGACCCAATTGATGGCTGTGGGTTTTTTCCCCCTCATCCACCAATTGCTTTTTCATAGCAAGTGAATTCAAGAGAATTCGGTTCAAGAGAAGCTGAAGTTAGAAGCTAAAATGCCATCATTGCAAAGAGCACAAAGTCCTAAAATCTGCAATACATAAAATCAGCATTCAACAACTCTTCTCTTACAGGTTGGTAGATAGTTAAATACATAAGCTATGTCAGAGACTCCGATTATTAAGAATTACAACCTGAAGAAAGGCTCGGCCTTATATCACAAAGCTGGCACTGAAGAAAAAAAAATACTGACTTGCTATATGCATACTCTACAAAAATACCATACATTTAATCTGTGAAAACAAATGGAGATTGAAATCAGATACAAGTTTAGGGAGGAAATGTTAATTTCCCATTCATTGCAATGTTGTCACTAGCTTTATATATTGACCTAAGCCCAACTTCCTGGCATTACAAATACAGACCAAAACAGAGATATTCTCAAATAATAAAACTGGGTTTACTTTGCCTTTTACTACTGAGCCCAATGATCCATATTAGGAATAAACCCCATATACTCACAGGGGGAATGAGGGGAAATCCTTCCATTTTGCAAGCTTGCAACATTCAGCCAACTTCTGAGTGAATTTTTCTTAATTCAGTTTTCAAACATCCAGAATAACTGACTTGAAAAAATCACATGAAACAAAAAAAGAAAAAAAAAAAAGAAAAAAGTGAGATCCTCGGACTCCGTGAAGTCCCTTTGCAGTGATGGATCTCAGGATAGGAGAAAGGACCCTAACAAGTTTTCATAGTTTGCCCTAATAGATTCTGAGGTGAACTTCTTCCCGAGTTGTATGTGAAGTTCCTGATTTTATCAAATGTCTGTAGAAGGGAGATAGCCCTTGGGTCTATCAGTGCGCTTGTGACATCACGGCGTTAGCCAGTTTGCATAAATCTCATTTCAGGGAGCTGCGGCGCTGTAACAGGAAGTCTGCCCTGAGCCAGATCTGCCATGGGCAGGTGCTTACTGTATAATCAGCAACCCAGAGCCTGGGCCTGCTACCAATAAACAAGCATATGGGTGCAGTGCTCTGTGGAAGACTATGTGCTTCCCACTGTAGATGAACCATAACGATGGTGCTGCTCTCTGGTTTAATGGTGTATCAGAGAGACACAGTCCTGACGACTTCTATGAGGACAGTGCAGTGGCATAGACTTGCTTTAATAATAATAGTCCTGTGTTGGAATTAGGTGGCAATACTTAGCAGAAAGGAAAAAAAGAGTATGTAGTTTCAAATATACGGTCTTAGCTTTCTACAAAACACTGAAATTAAGCCCATGAGACTTTCTTCATAAACTTTGCAATAGAGCAAAATAATTCAGTGAAAGATATTTAGTCCTCATGTTTGTTTTTTGTTTGTGATTTCTTTTCTTTTCTAGCTCCTGAAAGAAGAAAGTGAGTGGGGAAAAAGAGAAAGTTCTACATGTCCCATGCAATGACTTGACTTCTCTCAGATCCAGAGTGCCTTTAACAGTGAGCAGAGAACAAGATTTGTAGACTTGGATCTAAACAGGTCAGGTGCTGAAATTTCTTTTTGAGATTCTGGTTTAGCTCTTCCCTCATGGTGTTCTCCACTCTCTTCATCCCACTGTTTTTACTTGCATTTGGCTGCGCTGAACAAATGCCCTTTGTACTGAGGTTCTGGCAGGTGCAGGGGTGAGTGGGCCACAGGGCAGGATGTAGAGGGTAGGACCTTGCTACGAGGGGAGAACACTCTCATTCCGCAAAATGCCTTCTTGCTTTGCAGTTAGTTACTAACGTCTTGGAAAAGTCAAGTTTCTTTGTCTGAGTTGTTCCCCTTCAATTTATGCCCATGTGCCACAGGTTCTGCTTTTGAAAGTAGCCTGTTTACCACTCACCTGGGTCTATGTGTGAGGGGGAATTTCAGCCACTACAGACTTCCTCCCTTGTACACTGGTAAAACCAGAGGCCACTCACAAGTTCCTCTCATTCCCCACCCTAAGGAACTCAACAAGCAAACCATATAGCAATGGGATAAGATCAAGAACATGATGGGAGATTAACTCTTGAAGCCCCAAACTGAACTTCACTAGCATAAGTTGACACATAAGCATTTCATTCTTATTTTATTCATACCATGAGATCTTTAACCTAGAAATAAGCAAGCTGCGAAACAGTCCACTTCTGTCTCGGAGATGGTTCTCAAGTCTCCCCTTGGATACCAGCCTGGAAGGGATCAGAATCACCTGGGGGAAAAGGAGAGAAGCAAAGCACAGTTCAGATGATAAAATTCAGTGCAAACAGAGGAGAAGGGAGTGAACAATAGTATGCACAATTCTTAAAGTGGGTAATTGGCTAATAGATGATAAAAGTAATTGTGGAAATTGTGTGTCTATTAAAAAGGCTATTCAGAACAAAGAAGATATGCTGTCTGATACATCGTGCATTGAAAGTAGTTTAAGCGGCTATTGGAAGGTTTAAAAATGTAGTGTTTTATACAGAGAAGCTTCTTTTAAAGTGGAATGCAACTGTATTTCATACACTGGAGGATATTTCTGCTCTGTCTCTTAGCACAGGAAATTACCTAATAAGGATATTTTGCACCAGCCTTACTGCACTCAGGGAATGCTAGATTACCAACATTAGCAACCTTGTTTAACATACGAGTAATCATAAGCACACTGAGTTTATCAATATGAAAAATGAAATTGATTCTCTGTATGGTGAATTAGAACCAAATAATATGCCATAAAGCTTGAGGACCAGCAGAAGGTCCAGAAGTTGAATAAGCTTCCTAGGAAGAAGAGTATCTCCATAAATGGAAATGCTAAAAGCAAAACAAAATGCTTGTTTACAGTACCATATTTGTATAGGAACATCACTAGTAACAATCTTGCTAAAATTCAACACAGATTACTTTCTCACTGTTGCATATAACTGGCATTATATCCTTTGTTTGTAATGACAGAATCTTCTCACTGCTAAAAGAATGCCTACTAGAGATGATACTTGTGTCCCAGATCCTTGCAGTACCTTATTAGATGACTTACATGCAAAAAACAGATGAAGTTACCAAACAGTTGTGTAGTAGAGAACTGATTTCCAGAGGCATGTGATGTGAACTGCTACTCACAGAGTGTAATCTGACCTTCAAAAAGGCTTTTGAAGTAGGGTAGGGATCCTTCTCCATAATGGGAATTTGGAGAACTAGAGAAAAACCTGCTGAGTTGAAAGATTAGGTTTCTGAAATATTATTTCTGAAAACATTTAACATTCATATTAAACTGAGAGATTTTCCCTCTAAGCATCCCCTCACTGTGTGCAGTTTTTTGAAACAGTTCTTCCCCTACCTCTACCCATTAAATCTCCAAGCTACTTCTAACCACAAGCTACCAAAGCAAAAGGGTTTCAAGTCACAGCCACATCACAGAGAGGTCCCGTTACCTCAAACCTTGTTTGGTGCTTGGAAGGTAATTTTTCTCCCTACTAAAACCACACACAACATCACTCATCCTTGAAGTCTTTTAATCAGAAACAGGTGTTTACATAGATTCTGCTACTGAGTTTTCTTATAACAGTAAGATGAGACCTCTAAGCAAGGGATTCCCTTGTATGTTCCACATTCTTCCCAGAGCTCTGTTTTCCATTGAACTTCTTTTAGCTAGAGGTAATATGGCTTGTGGGTCTTGTATACCATCCTTTAACATTGAATTAATATCCATTCAGATGACATGGAGGGGTCTGCCCTCTTCTCTTAAAAGAGTCTACTGGGTCTCTCTGACTGTGGAACCTGTGGTGTCTGGAGCTCTGGGGCACAATCCTCTGCATTTAACTCTTCATTACATATACTGCTACTGAGTTGAAGATATGAGTTGAAATATCTTTGTTGCATTTTTCCATAATGAGAGAGTAGGATCCAGAAAATGGCTGCTGCACATTACTAGATGAGAAGAATTTGTTACCACTTTTTCTCATGTGGAGCTTCACCTTAGGATCTGAATAGTCTGAATGTAGACTCCACTAAAATACGTGCTCCCCCTTCCACTGTGGTAGGTTATCACTCACTGATGTTCCCCTGTGATACCCACAGGTTTATTACCATGTCTACATTTGAACAAAGACTTTTCCTATCTGGACATCCCCTCCTAGAGCTGATGCAGTTCCTGGTGGCAAAAAAGTGCTTTTGACAGTCTAGCTTTCATGAGTTCCTGAGTTTTATGTAATGGCATCTGTGCAAGGACTTTTGCCAGTGGGAAATTAAAATACCACAGTCTTAACTAGCTTCACTATATTGGCAAATATTTTCAAGCATAGACTGGATGAAACCCATATCAGAATGAAGATAGCCATTTTCATTGGCAGGAAGAGTAATTTGAGTCAGTACTAATACAGAAAACCTTATGGATTTTTTAAGAACCATTGTGATAAGCAATCACTTACAGAAATGAAAAGCACTTAATTTCTTATTTTATTAGTAACTTCTAAACTGTCCATACAGCAGAATTCAGCAAAGAAAAAAATCTCTGTTAGGCAATTTATATGGCTTCAAGATCTGTTTGCATCTCAGCTACATTTTATTATTTACTGTATTTGGAAAAACTTGTTTTGGTTCTAAGGTGTGTTCAAATAACTGTAAGATTTCGTATCAGTTTTTATAATTGTCTGCATTCTACAGGCAACAGATTTTCAATTTACACAGTCCTGCTCATTTGTAGTCATCCAATCTCTCAAAACTTTTTTATAATTTCAAGCAATTAACATGGAAGAGTGCTCTAATACCATCTACTCTTGAAGTCCACATCCAGTCTACATACTACGTACAGTCAGTAGCACCAGTAAGATGCAAGCAGTATTGTCTAACATCCCTTCATAAAGTTGTGCCTTGAACCTAGTCCAGTTGAGGTTCCACCCCCCCAAATCAGACACTCTAATAGTAAAAATTAAACTATAAGGATGAGGTTCATTTGAGATATGGCTCAGTAAGAGCCTATCTGCAGAGAACAAAATTTTTGTTGTTGTATTTCCTTTGCGGGTTGTCACCAGACTGGCTCTAGTTTGATGCTGTGGACCGAATTCCCATTTGCAGCTGGAGTCCTGAGCCACAGTTTCATCTGAAAAGAAACCAGTTCATGCGCTCTATATACTGCTGTGTGGTGCAAATTTAAGTACAGTAAGCAGGGGGGATCAGGAGATTAATTTTGGAAGTGCACTCATGATCTAAATTGCTGATACACACCCACCATGAGAGAAGATTCTTTCCCTGGGTGCACAGTGACCTCCGCCAAGCTGTTTCAGAAGTACCTCTGCTGGATGGAGTTTGATTTATATATTTAGGCAGCAGTTCTTTCCTGAGAGTGCAGCTGTATCTAGGAAGAAGTCTTGCTCTCCTAATGTAAATAATACTTTCCAGACTTGCATTATAGGATTATATCGCTTAGTAATCTCTCAGAATTCTAAAGAAAAAAACTCTATTCACAAATAAACATGTCTTTAGGTAGCTGGTGGGTTTACAACTGCACTTCCTTTTCTCTGCCACCATTTTCATGAGGACTTTGTGTCTGGAATTTTGCATAAACAGAGGAACTGAAGTACTAGAAGCCAGTGCTCTTTATACATCCTCACAGCAGACGTTTGGCTCTGTAAGAGGTGAAGCATGCATGCGAGCCTCATGTCACAGCTTTATGTGTTTGACTAGGACAGGTGTGTATGACTTACGTATGACACACTCTGTAGCATATTATCTATAGAAACTCTTTTCTTACAGAAGTAGTTACTGGTAAGAAAATTGTGTTTGAATGAATAACGTTTCATTCTTCTGTAACTTCATATCGTCTTTACTGTGTAAGCCACACGCAGTTAGATTCCCTAGTCTTCATTTTTGCTTTCTTGCCTG